CGGGTGCATCGGTGCCAACGGCTGGCTGGCCGGCAGCTCCCCCCTGCGGCTTCGGAAGCACCAGAGCCACCCCCTCGCCCGTGCACAGGTCTGGCCACCGGCATTTCCAGCCTGTTGAACACGCAGACTCCGCTCTCCTCCCACGCCACTGTAAATCATGAGTAACCACACTGCCATCAGCGGAGCTGCTGCTGGCCATGGGAGAAGAGAGAGACCCGTTTCTTTTGCTAGGCTCAATGTAACCGCAGTTTTAGTCCACCCACTCCTTCCCTGGAGCTGAGGGGCTTCCAGTATCTGAGACGAAATTGGGTCTGCTGGTTAAATAATAATAGCTGTAGCTCTTCCTACAAAAGAGGAAGCAGGAAACATCAATGGTCTGGAAGAGATGGCTGTTCACTGTTCCACGAATAGCCTTCTGCACAAAACCTATCGCTTCCACTGTGGCAAGCTGGAAGCAGCAGCAGCACCGTCTGCTCCCTCTGTTCCTGGCAAGAATATGGAAGACGTATTTGCCCACGACAGCTCAAAACAGTAACGCTTTAAGCAGCCTAGCAGCACCTCCCCATCTTTATTACAGACACTCAGAGCACTGGAAAATGTGTCCTAAGCAATTAGTTCAGAGACATTTGTTTAAATACATTTAATTTCTTTAATTATAGTGATCAAATACCTGGTACTGCCAAAGAGAACAGACATTTTTTAACGAGGGGCAATGGCAAAAACCACACTCAAGGCAACTGCCCCCTGCTTAGAAGGCGTTTCAGGCTTTTCTTCGAAGTTTATGGCCAGAAGGGACCACTACCAGCAATCTCATCTCTCACCCGTCACTGCCTCCCAGATTTCCAGACTCAGTAACCTGGGTTTGGCTAAAGCTTCTCTTCCAGCAAGGTGCCCAGTCACGGTAAGAACTGATTCTTAGAGGGAGGACCCTCCACTGCCATAGTTATTCTAACTGTTAAATTACACGCCTCCTTTCTTACCTGAATTTGCCTGGCTTCATTTCCCAGCCATCTTTTAGATGGCTTTCAGGAGATTTGGCTGGGGGACTGGGCTGAACTGGGAGTCTCTCTGAGAGCAGGTAACTAATACTTCGGCAGCGATGCGTGCTTACAGAGAACGAGCCCTCTGCCTCTGCCAGCACCACTGGCAAGAAAAAGCCATTTGTTACCTTTTCAGCTTAAAACTGCTTCTCTGCATCCACTCTGGAGCCTCCCTGGGGATGTATCATGAATTTCAAACTTAAGGTAAAACATGGTTTAAGCACACTGCTCCTGGGGCCTCTGACAGCTGAGTCGCACAAGCACTGCCCTCTTCCAAAATACCAGCTCACTTCAGTCAGAAGGGGGGACAAACAAGACCGAGATACTCGCTCATCTTAGCTGTGCAACAAATGGGCTTTGCAAAATGAATCTTTTGAGGAACACCAGGGAACATCTTAAGCCTCATCCTGCCAGCTGCCCAGGAGGAACACCAGGTGCCTCAGGAGCTTTCGTCACACCGACTTCCAGTGAGACTGCAAAGTCAATCAATTTGAGCCAAATTTTCAAAAGTGCCTAAAATTCCTGAGGCTCTCCTTGACCACGTGTTGAGAAATCCTCCTGTCGCCCTTATGCAGCAGTTACCACCTGTGACTGCTCTCAGGACACGCACTTCAGCAAAGAAGCCCCTTCTTCCGAACCTCCCAAGTACACGAGGTCCAGAACGGGTCCACAGCAAACATTACCCTCCACCATCCAGTTCCAGCTCTTTCTTCCTTTTCCCAGGTATTTTTGTCCTCACGTATCTCCACAGTTCAAGGGGATCATGACTTTTTCTTTAAGCTACATTAGAACAGGAAAAGGATATGTTGATAGCAACAACGCTTCGCCACAGAGGAGGAGCAAACAGGAACACCCAATTCCATCTACATAACTGAGAAGGGGTTCCAAATTACTTCATTATTCATATAACTACTTCGATCCAGATTCAACAGATTCAAAAGCCATCCATGTCACTAGGTTCATCAAAAGATAACTAAAATTTCAGACTGAGCACTTCAGCAATTGGACACTGCAGTGCTAGGTGCTCCAAAGCCGCACAGAGGAGACCATCACCCCCCTGCAGTTACGAGGCCACCGCAGCACCCATCAGAGCGCCCATCACCAGGCACAGAAAGAATTTTAATGCTGCCACGGCCTCAGCAAAAGGATCCTGTACATCCCTCGCTGTCATAATTAAGGGCTTTTACAAGGTGCTGGTCAACACACCTGCTGGCATTGATAAAATAATCACAAAAGCTGCTCCCTACATTGCTTAGTAGCATCTCACTGGCCAGCCTGAAGATGCATTCCATGCCTGAAATTCTTTCTTGGGATGCACATGGAGCAGGCTTATTTTAGCTTTAATATATATATATATTAAAAAATAAATATTGCTGCAATGCCAAGGAATTAAGCAAAACCACAGCAGCTTTCTCAAGGCACCAAGCCGCAGCCTGGCGCTCCCTCTGGTGCCAGCACACCGCAGGGCAGTGCAATGCTCAGCCGCATAATGAACCTTGCTAAAAGCAACCTGCACACCCGGCACAGCAGAAAGCAATTCCTATGCAAGCTCTAAAAAGCTAAAACAAAGCAGGCAGAAAAAAAAAACCCAAAGTGGACAGAAAGAGATAAGCAAAACGGAAGAATTCAACAGCTCTCTCCTAAGTAAATGCCACTTCTGTTAGAGCTGACCAGAGGGTCTCACAGGAGCTAAAATCCAAAATGGTCATCGACACAAGGCTGGGTCCCAGCCCAGGAAGGCTCCCTGCCCCCCCGAGAGGAGCTCACCCCGTCGCTGCCCGTTTTGCACTTACTCAAAGGCTCATTTCAACAGACTCCCGTAAATCAGTAAATGCAGCAGGACAGAAAGTTGAGATTCGTTCTCTCGTGTTCCTCGGCCCTGCAGTCCCTCGGGTATGACAGCAGCCTCCAAGC